AAAGTCAGGAAAATGTAAAGTCATAAGAGGGCTGGGGTTTGGAGAATAGATGAAAAGATCATCATAATGGTTATAATAATATTTGCATGTTTGGGGAAATAAAAGTCACAAATGAAATAACTTATATGTAAAGAAGAAATCTTTTCATAATTTTTAGTTATTCCATGTACTGAGCCTTGTACTAAGGAGTGTGTGTGTGTGTATGTGTGTGTGTATGTGTGTATTGGTGGTTTGAACCTACCAGCCAGCCCACAGGCAGTTTGCTTCCATGAAGATTTACAGCCTTGGAAACCCTATGGGGCAGTTCTACTCTGTCCTGTAGGGTCACTGTGAGTCGGAATTGACTCAACAGCAGGGGGTTTGATTTGGATTTATATATATGTGCATATGTGTGTATGTTGTGTGTATTTAGTTTATGTCAATATCTGAGATGAGAAAACTGAATTTAAGAGAAGTTAAATGAGTTGTTCACACTGTACTAGAAAGTGGTGGACAAGGGATATAAACTAGGGCAGTCTGATTTCAGATTGCTTCTTTTTAACCTTTATGGGATACTGCCTTATATTTCTAAATAATTTAAGGCCTGATTAGATCAAAGAATATTCTAAACTTGACATACAAGATTAGTGAAATGATAAGGATATTGGACAGAAAAAACTACTCAGTTTTTCAGGTTTTTTTTAAATTAATTTTTTTCTTTTTCTTTCTATATCCTTAGAATTTTTTAAAATCTTTTTAAACTCATCTTGTTTGACCCTTTCTAATTCTTAATTAGTGTTCAAAAAGTTTTGACTTATTAGTCATATCTTAGATATGAAGTTCTTAGTTAAACATTCTTTGCTTTATTAGAAAGGATTTAAAATTCAAATTGATTAGCTAAAAACCTGGCTTTATATTGAATTGCTGCTAAATTTTATCTTACTTTATTTTTTACAATTCTAGTTGGCTCTCCGAAATGAGGAGGCAGAAAATGAGAACAGCAAATTAAGAAGAGAGGTTGGTACAAAAATTCTAGTTGTGGTGGTTCAACAAAAATAGTTGTTAAAAATGTTTTCATAAATTTATATTGTAAACAGAACTGGAATCTTCTAAGTGACCTTTTAAACGGGCTGATTTTATGGTATGACTTTGGCTCAGGGATATAGAAAATGTATTGAAAGGTGAGGCTAGTAAGTACATTCATCTCTTAGTCTATGTAGGTAAATCTTGCTTTCTGTTTTATATGTAAGCCGTTCTTTAATTTACTAATTGAATATCTGACTGAATTCCTGTTCTTATTTCTCTTATTTTATCCAACATTCTTTTAAAATTTGTTTCTTATGAAATCTTATAAACTCTGATTATTTGGTTTTTCTGAGCCAAATAATGCTTGTCCATTGTTTATCCTGGTAGTTCTTGTCTTTTTAACGTAATCAAATGTTCTTAGTTTGGCTGATAATTAATATTCTTATTTTCTTTAGTTATCCAAA